ATTTGGTGCTACCTTCTCTATCTGAGCAACCTTTTCCTCTACTATTTGTGGCTGGCTTCCAAGACATGGAGTGAACCTCCTGGTACTTATCTCAGCTAGTTTGGGTGTTAGTCTCTTATTTTGTTACTTTATGCTCCCCAGATAAATGCAATATTTCTATGTCTGTCCCTCTCTTTCTGACTCATTTCACTTCTCATGATACTATCGTATAGTATCAATTGTTTGTAAATTTCATGACTTCATCTTTTTTCACAGCTGCATAGTACTCCTTGGTGTAGATGTACCAAAGTTTCTTTAACCAGTTATCTGTTCTTGGGCACTCAGGTTTCTTCCAGTTTCTGGCTATTGTAAAGAGTGCTGCAATGAACAAACAAGTGCAGATGTCACTTCAGCTACACATTTTTGCCTCTCTGGGATATATTCCCAGGAGTGGTATTGCTGGGTCAAATGGGAGCTCAATTTCTAATTTTTTGAGGATCATCCATACTGTTTTTCAAAAGGGCTGAACCAGTCGGTATTCCCACCAGCAGTGGAGGAGAGTCCCTTTCTTGCCACATCCGCAACAACACCAGTTGCTTTTGTTCTTTTGGATATGGGCCAGTCTCTCTGGTGTGAGATGATATCTCATTGTTGTTTTGATCTGTATCTCTTTTATGATTAGTGATGTAGAGCATTTTCTCAAGTGCCTTTTTGCATTTCGGATTTCTTCTTTGAGAAAGTTTCTGTTCATTTCGTATCCCCATTTTTTGATGAGATTGGATGATTTCTTCTTGATAGTTCAACCAATACTTTGTATATCCTTCATATCAACCCTAGTTGGATGGGTATTGGGCGAATATCCTTTCCCATTCTGTAGACGGTCTTTGTATTTTGGTCACTGTTTCTTTAGAGGTGCAGAAGCTTCTTAGTTTAAGATAGTCCCTATTGTCTATCTCTGTTTTCATTTGCTTGGCCAATAGTGTGTCATCTTTGATGATACCATTCACTTCAATGTCGTGGAGGGTTTTGCCAACCTTGTCTTCAATGTACCTTATGGATTCTGGTCTAATGATGAGGTCTTTAATACATTTTGATCTTACTTTTGTATATGGTGTTAGGTAGAGATCTGAGCCCATTTTTTTTGCATGTAACTGTCCAGTATTGCCAGCACAATTTGTTAGAGAGGTTTTCCTTACTCCACTTCATATTTTTTTGCTCCCTTATCAAATATTAGATCATCATATATTTGTGAGGAGATGTGAGTATATTCTACCCTGTTCCATTGGTGTGCGGCTCTGCCTTTGTTCCAGTACCATGCTGTTTTAATTATTACTACTTTGTAGTAGAGTTTGAAGTTAGGGAGGTTGATTCCTCCCATTTTCTTTTTCCCAAGAATTGCTTTAGCTATTTGTGAGTGCTTATTGTTCCATATGAATATCAGGAGTGTTTGCTCCATTTCTTTGAAGAATGTCATGGGTATCCTTATAGGCATCACATTGAATTTGTACAATGCTTTGGGGAGTATTTTTCATTTTGACATTGTTAATTCTGATCCATGAGCAGGGGATATCTTTCCATTATCTCGTGTCCTCTTTAATTTCCTGAAGTAGCGTTTCATAGTTTTCTTGTACATGTCTTTTGCATCCTTAGTTAAGCTGATTCCTAAGTACTTGATTTTCTGGGGGCACAATTGTGAATGGGATTGCTTTTTTCATGTCACTTTCTTCTCTTTCACTACTTGCGTGTAGGAAAGTCATGGACTTCTGGGTATTGATTTTATAGCCTGTAATTTTACTATACAAGTCTATTGTTTCTAGGAGTTTCTTGATAGAGGTTTTAGCGTTCTCTAATTATAGTATCATATCATCTGCGAATAGCGAGAGCTTGATTTCTTCCTTTCTGCCTGAATGCTTTTAATATCTTTTTCTTGCCTAATCACTATTTCAAGTACTTCCAGTACTATATTGAACAGCAGTGGAGTGAGTGGGCATCCTTGTCTTGTCCCTGATTTTTAGGGAAAGCTCTCAGTTTTTCCCCATTGCAGATGTTGCTTGCCATAGGCTTGTGGTAGATGACTTAACTATATTGAGGAAAGCCCCTTCTATACCCATTTTGGTGAGGGTTTTCATCATAAACGTGTGCTCCATCTTGTCAAATGCTTTCTATGCATCTATTAATATGATCATATGGTTTTGATCTTTTCTTTTGTTGATATGATGGATTATGCTGATTGATTTCTAAATCTTAAACCATCCTTGCATCCCTGGGATGACTCCCAATTGGTCATGGTGTATGATCTCTTTGATGAGCTGTTGAATTCTATTTGCTCGTATTGTGTTGAGAATCTTCTCATCCATGTTCATCAGGGATATCGGCCTGTAGTTTTATTTTCTTGTGGTGTCTTTGTTTGCTTTTGCTTTGTAGAGAGATTTTGGCTTCATAAAAATTATTTGGGAGAGTTTCTGTTTCTTCAATTTCCTGGAAAAGCTTGAGAAGAACTGGCAATACGTCCTCTTTAAATGTTTGGAAAAATTTGCTACTGAATTTATCTGGATCTGGCCTTTTGTTTTTGGTAAGACTTTTGATTACAGTTTCAATTTCCATGATGTTAATAGAGCTATTCAGGTCCTCTAGATCTTCTTGATTCAGCCTTGGGAGATTATAGGAATCCAGGAATTTATCCATTTCTTCTAGGTTCTCTTGTTTCATGGCATACAGACTTTCAAATTAGTCTCTGATGATCTTTTCAATTTCTTTGCTTTCTGTTGTGATATCCCCCTTCTCATTTCTTATTCGGTTTATTAGGGTTCTCTCTCTCTTTCTTTGTGAGTCTTTCTAGTGCTTTATCTACCTTGTTTATTTTCTCAAAGAACCAGCTCTTGGTTTCATTGATCTTTCGGATTGTTTTTTTGGTTTCCATGTCATTGATTTCTGTTCTAAATTTTATGATCTCTTTCCTTCTGCCTGGTTTGGACTCCTTTTATTGGTCCTTTTCTAAGATCTTGAGCTGTAAAGTCAAATTGTTTATATGTGCCCTTTTGTCCTTCCTGAGAAATGCTTGCAGAGCTATAAATTTTCCCGCTTATCATGGCTTTAGCTGCATCCCATAGGTTCTGGTAGCTCGTGTCTTCATTCTCATTTGTTTGCAGGTATCGTTTGATTTCATCCTTGACTTCCTTCCTGACCCACTCATTGTTCAACATTGAGTTGTTTTATCTCCAAGTTTTTGATTTGGTTCTCTGTGTCTGTGTGTGATGCACTTCTATCTTCATTGCATCATGGTCTGAAAAGATTTTTGATACTATTTCTATCTTCCTGATTCTATTGAGGTATGTTTTGTGGCCTAGCATATGGTTTGTTTTGGAAAATGTTCCATGTGCACTGGAGAAGAATGTGTATTCTTTCTTTTTGAGGTGTAAAGCCCTGTATAGGTCTATTTGCCCTCTCTCTTCTATTTCTTCGTTCAAAGCCAATGTTTTCTTGCTGAGTTTTGTTCTTGTTGATCTATAGAGGTTATAAGGTGATTTTGAAGTTTCCGGCTACTCTTGTTTTGCTAGCAATGTCCTCCTTAAAATCTGTTAGCAGTTGCTTTAAATATTTAGCTGTTTCCTCATTTGGTGCATATACATATACATGTAAGAGTGTGATTTCCTCCTTTTGTATGCATCCCTTGATAAATAGAAAATGGCTTCTCTGTCCCTTATAATCTTTTTCAACCTGAAATTGATGTTGTCGGATACTAGTATGGCCAACCCAGCTTTTTTGAGGGAGCTGTTTTCTTGCAGGATTGTTTTCCATCCTTTTAACTTTGAGTCTGTGTTTGCATTGATTGTTGAGATGAGTTTCTTGTAGGCAGCAGAATGTTGGGTTCTGTCTCTGAATCCATTTTGCCACTCTGTGTCTCTTAATTGGTCAATTTAGACCATTGACATTGAGAGAGATTATTGTTATGGGGTTTTGTGTCATCTTTCTGTAAGGGTCTGTTGTGCTTGTAGGGTTTGTCTTGTCTTATAGAAGCCCCTTTAGCCGTTCTTTTAGGTTTGGTTTTGAGTCTATGAAGTTCCTGAGCCACTGTTTATCCACAAAATAGTGTACCATTCCTTTGAGTTTGAGTGAGAGTTTAGCCAGAGAAAGTATTCTTGGTGAAGCATTAATTTCAGTGAGTTTTTTCACTATATGGAGGGTTTTCTCTGATAGGTCTGCTGTGAATCTAAGGGGTACTCCTTTGTTTGTGATTCCCTTCTTTGACCTTGCTCCTTACAGTATTGTGTCTCTATTGTGGCATTCATCATTCTAACTATATGTCTTGAAAGTTTTTTTAGAGACTCTTTCAGCTGGCACCTTTTGGGCTTCTTGAATCTGAATGTCTGCATTGTCCAGCTCTGGGAACTTTTCAGCAATGATTGTTTAACGATGGTTTTTTCATTGGGATTGTTTCCCGGAGCTTCTGTTTCTCCAATGATTCTAATGTTGTTCCTCTTGGAATCATCTCCTAGGACTCTGATTCTTTCTAGAGCTATTTTTGGTCTTTTGCCATTGTTTGTTGTTGCCTGTAGGTTTCATGCAGGTGATCTTCCAGCTCACTGATTCTGTCTTCAGCTGTGGCCATTCTTCTGTTGAGGGCACAGACTAAGTCTTTTATTTCATCTACCTAATCTTTTATTCGTGACATTTTTGTGCATAGTTCTCCAATTTCTGCTCTCATTTCTTCTTGGATTTTCTTGATTGTCTGATCCATTGTTTATTTCATGTCCTCCTTCAATTTACTGGATATCTGTCTGTTTCATTGAGTTCATTGAACATCTTCATGACTTCATATCTGAATTCTTTGTCAGAGAGGTCTCTTCGGTGAGTAGCACCTACTGAGGCTTCTGGACTCTTTTCATTGTCCTCTCCTCGTGGTGGGAATTTGCGTTGTTTCTTCACGGTGTTGCGGAGGTATGGAGACTGAGATGTTACATGAGATTTCTGGGTATGAGTAAACTACCTGCGGTTGCGTGAACATCCACTGGAATTAGGCCATGTCCACTTCTGAAGAAGCCACAGACACTTCTGAAAAGGCCTCGTCCTCTACGGGTACCTGGTGTGTTGGTGGCTTACAACCTGGGGGAGGAAGAAGACCGGCCACAGCGTTGTGACAAATAGAAGAGGCTCAGGGATGGTGAGTGTCCCAGAGTCCTAGAGGACACCTAGGACATGTACGCGGGGAAATCCAGGTCCAAATAATGACTGACCCTGGAGAGGAAGACTAGGCACAGCATTGGGAACGGACAGGAAGAGCCATAATGTACTATTTTTTAAAATATCCATTTGCTATATTTAGTCTCCCAAAGACATATGTTAGAACATTTAATTTTTATCCCCATGTGTCTTATCTTCACTTCATTTTTATTTTCTTTGTTTTAGTTTATAGTATACTTCTTTTAGTTCATATTCTTCTAATTCTTTACATAATGACTACTTCAAATTTTCTGTGGATCTGTTCTTCTATTGTTTCAACTGTTGAATTTCAATAACCACATATTTAAATCCCAAACTCTCCATTTTGTTTCTATCAAAAGTTTACTCCTTTTCTCATGCTCACAGTTTTTTTATTTGTTTAAACATTTGGGCTTGATTCTTTTCAATTTTCTTTGATACAGTTTCATTAGGTTGGAGCAGTAGCACAGTGGGTAGCGTGTTTGCCTTGCACACGGCTGAGGTGGCTGACCTCGAATCCTCGGCCCCTCTCGGAGAGCCTGGCAAGCTACCAAGAGTATCTCGCCTGCACAGCAAAGCCTGGCAAGCTACCAGTGACGTATTCGATATGCCAAACACAATAACAACAAGTCTCACAATTTGTTGTGAGATGTTACTGGTGCCCACTCGAGCAAATCGATGAACAATGGGAGGACAGTGCTACAGTTCCATTATCTCCACTTCTTGGTAAAGCACATCTACTGTCTGTATCTAGTCTTCTGATTGCTTTTCCTCATGTCACTTCAAATTTTTATTTCTTCTTCATTGTACTGCAGTCTCCTGTGAGAGTTTCCTGTGAGAATTATCTGTGTGCTGTTGTGTTTTCTTCCTTACAGATTAATTCATGTTTGCCCACATTGGAAGCATGATGGGTTCCACCTGTCATGTGTTTTCTCTTGTTTTGGGTCACAACTTATAATGCTCAGGGCTTGGTAGTTACTCTTATCAGGGCTGGTGGTGCCAGGGATCAAACCCTGCAAGGCAAGCACTATTTCTCCTGTGCTCACTTGTCACTCCTATGCTCATTTGTTAACTTGGTTGCCCTCCGTTATGTAGTTATCATGAATTCAGACTTCACATTTATTATCCAGTGTGGAAGTAGGGTTCATATTTGTTGGGAGTGGACCTTCGCCTCCCATTCTCCTAAAGGAAGGCAAACTTCTTTGATATTTACACCTGAGTTCCCTTTTTGGTTATGGGTTTGGAGTAAGCATGCTGGGGTCAGAACTCATTCATTGTTGGACTTCCAGTTTCAATGTATTGGGTCACATAGATGGAATTATTTCATAGTAACTCTTTGATGTCAAAATTTTCTTGATATTTCTTGGTAACTAAATTCATATATATAACTTTAAAAATTATATCCAAATTTTTATATTTTATAAATTGAAGAGGCTTCTTTTCCTATGGCCCAAACTAGCACCACTGCCACCACACACACACATACACACAGACAAACACAAAACACAATCAACTTTGTCAACTTTAAATAAGCTTGAAGAACTGGTGTTCTGGATCATGATAAATGTTATATCTAATGAGATAATTTTCATCTAACATAAGGTGTAAAATTTCTGCAACTGACTGCAAGCAAATTATGTTTCTATTTAATTGTCTCTATTACTTTGTCTTGTGACCTACTCACAATTTTCCACTTGTAGAGCATTTTCTTGTGTATTTCTTATTTGGGGGAAAATAATTTTCATTTTCAATTCAAGATAGAAAACATTCCTCACTGGATAAAATATACTTCTGGTGGCTATAGTTCAATGTTTTAACCATTAGTCCTTTTCCACATTTAATATAAAACAAACTGTCCTCCCGTTGTTCATTGATTTGCTCGAGCAGGCCCAGTAACGTCTCCATTGTGAGACTTTTGTTACTGTGTTTGGCATATTGAATACTCTCAGTAGCTTGCCAGGCTCTCCAAGAGGGGCGGAGGAATCGGATCCAGCTCGGCCAGGCTGGCTGCGCCCAAGGCAAACACCCTACCGCTGTGCTATCACTCCAGCCCACATTTAGTATAGATTGATAAAACTTCACCTATGCTGTCTTACTTGACCCTCTTAAAATTCAGCATAGCTATTAGTATACTCTCATTTTATAGTGGAAAAATGGGCTGGAGGGGATTAGTTACTAAACTTGCCCTTAGTAACTAATACAGCTCACCTTCTTTCATGGAAGAGGAACCTCACTAGGAAATACAACTCCTAGGGAACATATTCACCTTTCTTTCCTGTCAAGTAACATGGAATCTTCAAGTCTCTTTTAAGACAGAGAAGCCACATTTGTAAACCCATTCACAGAATTTTCTATATGATCTTGTCCCCACTTTTTCTGCAGATAGCATTAGAATTTCTTGAAGATGATTAAGATGATAGATAAAACTATGATTCTAAATATACAGTTATTTTCTGCTTGAAAATATATTTGTTGCAATTTAAAATTTTTGAACACATTATCTCGCATTTCTATGTTATATCAATTTGTGCTGAATGCTTCAAAATTATAGCAAATGGTTTCTAAAGTTAATAAATATTTACATAAAGATGTATTCATTTGATGACTTATTGTGGAATGTTACACATTTTCATCCTCAGGATTTGATGTAAAATTTATAAAATTGTTTTGATACCGATTTTTGTAATAGAAATTTTGTTATGCCTAGAAAAATATTCTTTCTGAAGTTCCACTGGTTAATCATTTTATTTCTCCTACCTGTACATTAAAATAAGTAGTCCTCTGAAATCAACCAATATTCTGTGGTTTCTATTTTGTTTGCCTTGTAATAAAAGTGACTGACATTATTAGAATGAAGCCCAAATTTATTTTGGGGTCCCAGGGTAACTGATTGGGCCATTCCTATCTCTTTATTTCCTTACCTTATCTACAGAAAAGGGACTATTAACCACCCCTGAATCATGTATCCTAAACAATATGAAAACTGATTAAAAAGCAAAACATTCATCTTTTTATAACATGCAGCAGTAGAATTATTTATGGGGACAGAAGAAAATGTAATAGAACTATACAATCACAAAGCAGACATCAAAATTTCAACTCTGGGGCAGTTTAAAAAGAGAGTCTTCACTCTGGAAGTTTTAACCTCTAGGTCTTAAAGCATAATAATGCTCTTGATAAAATTCATGGTAGCTAGATATTTCCCATTTATCGTCATATTTCTTTAAGTTGTGTTTTACTCGATACAATTATCAGCAATATCAGCTAGAGTTACTACACCGGAACATCTTTCAGATCTTGTAACCACTTATTGCTATGGACTGATTATCTATGTCTCTCATTCTTCATGCATATATTTAAACCACGTTCCCAATTAGTGATGGTATTTGGAGGTGGGGTCTTTGAGAAGTGATTAGATCATAAGGGTTGAGCCTTAACAAATAGAATGTTGAGTACTGGTGGATTAAAGGGGGAAATTTCCCCCTTCTTATCTATGTTATTCCTGGGCTGATTGGGTAATGGAAACAAAATAGGAAAATAGGACAGATTAGGAACAGTTAACATTGAAAATAGAAACTTTTGTTGCAGGCAGGTAGATAGGAGTCCAAGGTAATGAGCTTTTGGGAAATAAGAAAAGTTAAGAAGTTGTTGCATCCTGAAGTAACCCATAGGCATGAAGACCACATCTTTTTGAGAAGCAAAATCTCAGTTCTTTGGAGAAACATAAACACTCAGAGAATGAAGGGTGGAGTCCTCAGAAAAAGAGAAGCTGCAGGAGAATCCAAATGCCATGATCAGAGTATGAATGGGCTATCAAGAGTGCATGCCTTTCACTATGACTCTGTCCAAATTAATTATTTTTATTTTAACTTTATTTAAAAACCAAGATTTACAAATTTGTTCACAATACAGTTAGTTCAGGTATTCAATATTTCAACATTACCTTACCTCAACCAGTGTTCCTAGAGTCCCATCCTCCCCCTCACTCCCAAGCCTGCTCCCTTAGCAGAGACTAATTGATTTACTAAATATTGCCTGTTACAACATATATCTTGTAATGAGTTGCTAAAGTCACGCCCTGAGGATTTGCCTGAGCTGCTAGGTGCAAGTTGGGCCTTCTGTGTTATTGTTTTCCCTCACTGAGCTTAGTGGGCTTCTGCTCAATTTTCCCATCTAAGTTTCTTTTTTCTCCTGAGCTCTGTGAAGGTTGGCTGCATATGCGGCTGTTCACTTCAGGAGCATTGGAGCTGGGATGATTAGCTGCAGATAGCTCCCTGGCCTTACTGAAAGTTAGTCCTGAAGCTGGACTGATTCTCTGGGAGAAGTGGGATCTGGATATGGGTGGCTGGAGCACTGGTCTTTGGCAGAGTGGGAATTCAGTCTGCCCCTATCTCACTTAGGGTTCAGACATCTTGCCTGGTGGCTACCAGGTCATTGCTAGATTAATTTTTATGTATGTAGAGAATTTTAGGCCAACCCAATTTGGAGAAATTATATGTTACCTTCTTTCAAAAACCATTCTGTTTTTTTGAGAATGCCTCCTCAGATTTTTTCTGTGAGGGAAGGGATGAGCCTAAAATGCCTGTGTTCAAGTCTTTCTTTTCCCAATAAAGAGCAATTCCTTGCAAAAATAATAGCATAAATAATTTTTCTTTTAAAAGCAATTTCTCTTTCCAACCTGAGTCAATTCCCTGAGAACTCACGTGCTGGGGACAAGCTTCTGCTTTGTGCCATCAAATGACTTCAAATGAGCACATAGGTGCTCATAGCTGACTTTACCAGTCCTGACCCATGTTGTGCCTTTTCCTGGGTGGCCAAAGTGAGCTGAACAGAAAGGTGGAAGCACTATTTTCTTAAAGGTTACCATCTCATGCCCC